TAAGAGAAACAGTCAATTAACAAGTTTGTTGAGTGACGACTAATCATCTAAAAGTGTAGCTTGTTTGAAATAGCTACTAAATAAACTGTTTTTAAATAAATTTAAAAGTTCATAACACATTTCCTCAATATACAAGCCAGAGATTAACATTACCCTATTCTCTAGTTTTCAGTTTTCAAAATGAACTAGATATATGTTCCTAATGTACAAACCTATTCAACCCTCTGTACTATTATAACATTCTAGTAATAGATGCATCATCACAAAATCATTGTTTTCAGATTCCTAAATTTATTTTCTTTATACTACCAACTAACCATATTGTCTTTTTTCCTTGTTATCACCAAACTGCTTAAAATATAATATTTAACAAACTGCAGCTTTCTAAGAATAAAATTAGTTAAAAATAAACATTGATGTTCTTGAATAATCTACACTAGTCAATCACTAAATTAAAAGCATTATCAACAAATCTGGTGAGTTATTCAAACTTTACAATGAACTATTAACATAACACAGAGTTGGATACCAAAAAACCAGATAACTATAGAAGTTTTCTTAGGTCAAGTAACCCTTTCGCAACAAGTAGATCAAAATGTGCATGCCACAACCTTTTACATTTACATTCAACTTAATTAAACTACTTTATTATCAATATATATGAATAAACTTGGCATCAAAACATATTTAACAGATCAACTTTTATTATTATATAAATTTTAAGTTCTTCATGTCATAAGGAAATATTTAAAAAAAATCAATCTCCCCCTATTATGAACATTTTACAACACATATTCACTCACTAGTTAGCTAAGTCACATATTTTGTTTTACTCACCATCATGTCTCCAGTTGAACAAAACACAAGACCTAACTAATTAATGAATGAATAGTTGATGTAAAGTTCTTATCAATGCTGTAAGTATAACTACCAGTTTGACCACCAATTTTGATTTCATTCTTTAAAGTCTTTTTTGGCTGCACCTCTTTTCACACCTAAGGTGTTTTTGATTAGATAGTTTATTAACCCAGGGATCCAAGTGATGAACTGTGGTGAAATATTATGTACATATGAGTATAAGGCCTAGCTATGAAAGTATAGTGGGGGAAACACTTTAAATACATGCACTTAAGATTATGTACACTAAACTAGGATAAATCTCTAATTCTTAAAAACTGCATGTACGAGTTATTTTAATTCAAAACTTCTAGCAAGTATTAATGTTTGTTTAAGTTTTTATTTTTAAAAATTATTCAAATAGTGGTCAAATTAACTTACAGTCATTTATTAAAACACGGTTTAGAAACAAGAGTTGGGGGGAAGGATCTGGACTAAAACTGTACGTATCTGCATGCATGTTTCATAAGTTATAAAATTTACAGGCCAGAGCCATTAAATGACAAGACTAAGTTCACTAAGACTACTTTCTGTGATATGTGATGTATACTCTATAAAGTTTCTTTAGAACTGTTTCCTGTAATAAAAATATATTAAAAATTCCTGTAACAGACTAAAATGTAAAAAATTAGAAATTTAGTACGTTAGATAAGATAAAATTTAATGTGTTTCATATTGATATTTATTTAGAAGATTTTATTATACAAATGAAATTTGAAAACCTTCTAATAAGAAAAATATTTTAAATCTTAACATGAAAATCAGAGCAGTCAACACTGACTTAATATAATTATGAATAAACTTTAAGACATATACTTAATTAAAAATTCTGACTTTTTTGTTTGCAACAGACTTTTAATGTTTAGTGAAATTTTGCCAAATTTTATGAAGTACATTAAGAACTTTTAGAGTTACAGCATGTACACCACTATGTTACATGGTGGTTACAAGGTCATGTAAAATACATGAGCCCATTGCAATAGGAATAATTACAAATATTGTGTTTTATGAAATAGCTCCAATGTCTTGAAAACACTATTTTTATATAAAAGATCATATTAAGCATTAAAATTACCAGACATGCAACTCAGATACACAAGTCAAAATTGCATATGTGCAATATGAAGACTGATCCTGATATGAACAACTATAACTGCTGTTTCTATGAGAACTAAGCCAGCCCACTACATGATATTGTTCATTTACCACAAATTAATTTTAATTTGTAAACATTTCAGACTTTTAAGAATTTATTTTGAAATCTAGAATGTTTTATCATTACTATCTGAAACAACAATGATAACTTGAAAAATATCATACATGATAACAGTGACGTTTCACAAAACTGATTAGATAAGTACAAATACAATACTATAAATAATGAATTATCTGTCAAACAATACTCTAAATAATAGCCTATTTGTCAAACAATACCATAATCAATGGTCTACCTGTCAAACAATATTCTAAATAATTGCCTGTCTCTCAAAAATACTCTAAATAATGGCCTATCTGTCAAACAATTCTGTAAATAATGACCTATCTTTCAAATAATACTGTAATTAATGGCCAATATATTAAATTACTATAAATAATGCCTATCTGTCAAATAATACTGTAAATAATGGCCTATATATCATAAAATACTGTAAATAATGGCCTATCTGTAAACAATACTGCAAATAATGGTCTGTCTGTCAAATAACACTGAAAACAATGGCCTATTTGTCAAACTATAATGTAAATAATGGGCTGTCTAACAACTGTCAATCTAACTACAAGTGTGTCTGTCAAGAAAAACTTGTTACTCATATAAAGCATTCAATTACTTGTGGAGCTGTCATCAAGTTCATTTCCAACAACCTTGTTTGGAGAGGACCTTCTGAAGGTCTGTTGTTCTTCAAAGCATCCAAAAGAAAGGAGGTACACTGCTGCACAAGGTTGGACTCCATGAATACATCCACAATCTATAGAACATTTTACAAAGATTAAAATGTGGAAGATATAAAAAAAACACAAATCTCTGAACAGTTAAAAATCCTCTCCTATTGAAAATGCTGGATACCAAATTTTCCCACAAAACAAGTAGATGAAAATGCAAAAGGAATATTACATAATTAAATACAGTCACAAAAATAACTTTTCTACACCTTGTACCACAAGAACTGTAAAAGTTCCTTCTTAAGTAAGGTTATTAACAAAATGTTAAGAAAAACAAATATTAATAATACATAGCAACTCCTTAAAGACCAATTTTCACCTGATTGATATCAGCCAATGGTTCATCATCTTGTACCAACATTTGTGCAAAAGAAGCACCCTGATCAGGATTAATCCGCATGACCTGTCTCAACAAGAAAGTGTAATCTGGGGTGTACCCAACTTTCTTTGCATAGAGAACTATCTTCTGAAACTGACCAGTTTCTGCAAAACACTGAATGACCTAAATAAAAAGCAGAATTTAAACCTTAATAATAGTATTGTACATCCTTTTGCTTTTGGTTTCAAAATAAATTTTGATTATTTTAAACACAATTTTCTTAATGTTAACTTTTTCCAACTTTAATTTATATCTAAAATAAAAGCTTACTTTTCCCAAGGAGTAAAGCAATCAAGTCAGTTAAAAATATTAAACTGACTACCTAATTCTGACTATCTCAGACACATCTAATAACACAATCTCATTTTCCAAATCAAAAATTCAAGAACATCAGAACACTAGTTAGCTAAAATTTTAAAATATAAGAAGATAAAATAATTATTGAATTAAAAAAAGTAATATTGTTGAAAGTTCAAGGCATAGCAAGACCCCAGTGCTTTAACAAAATTTAAAGTTTTCTTTGTACTGAGTGTTTATAAAAAACCTCATGTACACACAAACAATACACGACTCAAATTAGTTTTATAAACAAACCTTTGGTGGAAAATTAAACATTTTTAATTGCTCTCCATTAAAAATTATCTTATGCAAACCTATCTACCTACCTTGTTTGGGACATTTGCTCTCAAGTATACAGATAGGGCCAGTGTTGGATCAACTTGTTTCACTAAGTCTCCCAATTCTTCACTGCATTCCAGCTGAATAAGTACCAAGACGTCATAAATTATATAGTTGATTTAATAAAAATACAAAATTTTAACTGTGATCTTTTTTTTGAAAGGCTAGATAAAAGTGTATGTGTTCTAGAGTTTGCTTTACTTACAGGCAGTCAATGTATTTAAAACGATGTTTTGAAAAATCTCACAAGTAAAACATTAGTAGCAATAACTATCTGAGCAAATAAAGATATGATTTGAATTCAACAATCTAGGATGCAATCATAAAATATATGCAAAAACATTAAATTTAACAAAACATGATTTTAGAAGCTGCTTAATTCTCTCGCTATGGGCTCGATAGATCCAACCTAAAAACTGCCCCTTGACCTTTCGAGTTTCTATGCTATAACTTCTAATATGTTTTGCATATCTTAAACCTCCCAAATAAATTTCAAATGTTTTTCTTCAGTAAAACTTTATATTTTACCTGTTATTTCCTCTATCCTCATAACCACCAGAACAAAAAATTAAAATAAATCTAAACTACCTTTTTTTTCTAGAATGACTTCAAATTGTAACGTGAAACTACATTTGTTTATCCTAAATAGCTTTAAACTCATAACAGTATACATCTGTTTCTACTTAAATTTTATTGTTTCATTGCCTTTTCATTTGCAACTCACTGATATGCCCACCATAAAATTTATAAATAACTTAGTGAACATTCAGTTCACATTACCTTATTGAATTATATAATGCACAGGAAACTAGCAAGTTTGCCCAGTGAAAATTTCATTTTTATTCTTTATTTAACCTACTTTAACCTTACCTAACAAGTTTCTAATTTTTGCATTTTAGTTACTTTTATAATAATAAATAAAGAATACATATGAAAAACAAGAAATATAGTACTTACCTGGGTCTTCTTTTGTTTTGTTTTGCTGTTGTAGGCTGTCGATGAAGCTTAAGCCTACATTTTTATACTAAGGGTACTACTACACTAAACTGTTTTTATTTAATTACATAATGCACCAAGAACACAGAATAATAACATGCCAAAAGCAGACAATGTCCTATAACTATCAAAATTTTTCTGGATTTCTGACTGAGTAACAAGAGCAGTCAAAATTTCAGATAAGCTTGTCAATGTGTTTCTCCATGAAAATAAAGTTTGAACTGGAGGTGAAATAGACTATTCTCTGTACAGTAAACAATGTCATTTAATATGTCCTTTGATAGATTAAAACTTGGGTGGCTTTGTATTGGGTAAAAATAACATAGTACTAAAAGTCAGAGAGAACTATTGGCAATTTCTGCAAAAGATGGGTCAGATATTTTATGTCTTTGTAACCAATTATGATTGAAGGCTATAAAAACTATGCTTTGCCTGAGCAATGACAACATTATAATGAGTAATTGTTGTTAAATTTTGTACTTTCTGGATGGGTTGTAAATAAATTAGAGAAGAGGGGATGCCTAGAAAGCAAATGTCACAATTCTCATAGTAGGGGAAATTAGGATTTTTTTCAATATGGATTTATAAATTGAAAGAGTTAAAGCTTATATAATGTTAAAATTTGAATTATTAGTTACATTTTTATGCCAAGTTTATTTGTGTATGATGACAAGAAAATTAATTAATTAAATTTTGAGTGTAATCCAGAAAAACCTCATGACACGGGTATAAAAGGATGCCTATAGCAAGATGGTTAAAGGAGTAAAAATCTTGACATACTTTGTCATCTTTTAGCCATTTCTCCAGGAGTTGCTTCCTTCCTTGTTGTAAAACTGGTCGACACAGCTCCAAGGATTCAAACTTGTTCAACTGGCCCTGGTCCAGCAAGATTCCAAAATACTGGAGGAGAGGCGATGTTTGTCCTGCCTGGGTAGGGACTTGCTGGAAACGTTGGATTGTTTGAGGAGTACGAAGAATACCCTAGGGATCAATCAAAACACTTTGTAAATTTCTGGATGGATAGAAAACCTCCAGTTTACTGTCTACACAAGTACGATATTTTAGTAGTCTATACGGTAAAAAGTAAGATAAATAAATTTCCTACACAGCAACTCTATGATACCATAAAGCTAACCCTACCTTTGGAGCATTAGCAGCAACCTTTGCAGCTTCTGAATATTGTCCATTTTGAAACAATGTATTGAACTTTTTCACAAACAAGTCTTCAGCCCCAGCAAGGTTGTTCCTGACAGCCATACGCAATGCAAGGTCAGGATTTTGTAAGACATTTGTGATGTATGGAATAATGCTTTCTTCCTCCACACTCACAGAAAGGACCTTCAAGACAAATATTTGGCATTATTAATAAAATAAATCTCCATTTTCAATTCTAACTGAAGACAAAATGCATTAAAAAACCAAATTTACACACCTGGGAAAGTCAATAATTTCAAAATACAGACACCATACCTGTCCTTTTCTGTTAACTCCAATGATTCCAGATGATGGTTCATGAGGGGCTGTCACAAAGATTGTGTCTGCACTGATTCGGTTCATGTAAATGCATATACCACTTTCAATATCATAGAGGTGGACATAGCCATATTTAGTGATGAGATAGATCACACTGTGTTTAGGACTGACCTGAAGCAATAAATGTTTTTGAACTTCATAGATAATGTCACAAATTAACAGAAACTTAATACTATAAGAACAATTTTCCCCAATTTCCTAAACCATTTTAAGCATAACCATATAAAAAATACCAGAAAACCTTTGTGATATAATATTACTCCCTGTAAAGAAAAAGTATTCTGATATTTTAAAACAATAATGAATTTTTTTTTTACATATTTTAAATTTTATATTATACAAAACAGATGATTTGTAATGGTAATCATAGGTAGCCTAGCCATAGCTCTGCATATTGTTTTCACTAAATTAAGCTAAACAAGTAATTCATTTGGTTGAAAAAGTGAATGTTATTAAAGAAATGTGAACAACTGCAAAACATGAAACATATTTAATAATCTTCAGATGTTTTGGTACAAACTAATTCCATCACCAGTAATCTATCATCGTATACATAAAAAGTGATATAGCATAATAGGTAAATGTAATAGTACATAATTAAAAAGTTAATAGAACAAAACAGATGACTCGTTATTAATGTACTAATGACTACCTAACTTGTATACATGTTACAATTTTCCTGCAGTGAAAAGCAGATAAGCACCCTTCAGAAAGTGTCTGAGTGTGAAACCTCAATGTAAAGGGACACACCCATGGGAGACCACACCAAGTCTGTACTATGTATAATATTCTCCCACTGTGAAGATACATGTCACTAAATTAGGTGGAAAAGATGTACATCCAATGCGTAAGTGGATGTGCCAAATGATGTAGAATGGCTAGAGCATGTCAGACTTTATTCAGTGGGTCAACTCCACTCCAAAACCTGGCAACATTGGGAATGAAACATCCAGGCCATGGTAGGAGGAGGGTCCTTGCCATCTTCCCTTTAAGCCCAGGAATCAGAATGGAAATTACACTTCCATTACAAAAACCCAAACAGTGCACATGTGTGCAGACCCAATACACAACCAACAACAGAACATCCTGGAACCTGACATCTGGGCAATGATATGCTAATGCATAGGAATCAGAGGCATGAAGCATACTGATCCCAGAATGTAATTGTTCTGTAAACTGTTCAGCATGGACCCTGATATCTGGAGAGAGTGGGAAAACAAGGTCATCCAAGGAAGGAGAAGAATCAGAAGACACAGGGGATAGAGACAAAACATAACATACCTGGGACACCACATTGAGGAAGGCAGAAGAAGTTCTGGGAGTATCCACAGGTGTGACATAGGATTGCACGGCAAAGGAAGGAGGTGGAAAGAGGCTATTCAAATCCTTGTCATCCTGAATTGGTTCCCCAGGAAATGGTATGTCTGATCATGGCTCAGGAGACACAACAGGCCAAATAATGGACTCCAGCACATGGAAAATTAAGACCCAAAACTTCTCAGAAGAAAAAGTGGAGTATGTTGAGTTTCAGTGGTAATAGTAACAACAAGAGTAGTTTTTGTAATTTGATATGTAAATCCATAGTTCAAACTGAGAGGGGGAGTTTTTATATCAACCTACAGTACCAAGTTAAAGTAGAGAAGAAAAAGTAATAAGCTGGAAACAATGAAAATAATTGTTCGACAAAATCATTGAAAACTAAAACAATCTAAGCAAACATAAGCAAAAAGTAGATATGTCTGCATTCTATAATGTCAAATTGAGAACATTGGGTTCTACAGTATAGAGGGAGTCAGCTGTCAGTAGGTTGTGTCACATTCATATTGGTGGAGGGCTGTCACATGCTTATTTGCATGCTACAGCACGGCTGCACCATAAGTAAACACAAGGTAATAGATGTGAGTATCAAGACTAGTGGCAAGCGAAAATTGTGCATATAGAGGGCAGCACTGAATGAGAAAAACTGTTGCATGTGTGGAGTTAAGGAATATCAGATATATATTCTTTCTTCAATAAATATTTAAAATGTTTATTTATTATGCTTATCACTTTTTGTTCATGATTATAGATCAATGATGATCAATTATTTTCTTCTGAAACATCTAAGAATTATTAAATGTCTTGTTTTGCCATTGTTCTTATCCTTTTAATATTCAAGTAATATCAAGCAAATGAACTCTTAACACACTTATGCTAGTAACTATGCAATACTAAATATTAAATCTTTTATTTTGTTTTCAAGAGTCAAAATAAAATGTTGTAGTCATTTGTGTCTATTGACATAAAATGTGACAAAAATGTGTAAAGTTTTTATCTAAACAAGTTAAACTGTTTAGATAAAAAATTGAACTATATCATTAAATGTATTTAAAATCATTTATGATATTTTTTAAAGACCAAGCTGATAGTTCTGGAAGTGACAACACTTACTTGCATTGCTACAGGGAAATCATTCTGAGCTTCCGGTGGAAAAAACACATCAACTGCCTTCTTTGGATATGGCTGATTTCCTGCTGGGGGTTGACCAACTTCGATTATATGAAGCTAGGGGAGTTTTGAGGGATAATTTTCATTAAAAATAAAAGCTTCCTCTGCTTATCACTATCAATAAAACTTAACAGTTAACAAGCACAAAATCTCATAACACTGTAAGTACTTGAAATCTTTGTTTTTCAAAAATTTTCTTATTTATTCTTCCATTTTAATAAAAATTATTAAAATTTAAGCATTTATGAATACATAGTATTTATTGGTTGATGTATAAGTTTGCTGAAAGGGAAATATGATTTTATAACCATGCTCACAAATAATATCTTTGTATGCCTATACAGTAGATCGCTAAGTTCCATACATTCCAGGAACATGACCAATACTCATATACTTGAGATGTTTATTGGATCAGCTCCAAACCATATAATAAATGTTTTCACAGTTTCCAATTGCAATTTTATTACTATCGGGAATTATCTTTGTAAACATTGTATGATACACAAGCTGATAAAATCCATATCGTGTTCTCAGAGCAGGGTTGAAGTCAGCTTATTTCTTTGCACGTACTTTGTTGCTCTTGAGTGTATATCATATTATGATGTTACATAAGCAATCTAATGATAAAAGTGGTGTTCTGTTGCTTTATTTACATCAGATTTCTACTTCAAACGTTGACAGTAACATAAACACAAAAAATAAATGTAAAATGATTAGAAGTTCAAACTCTCAAGAGATGTACTTTGAGACTTCATGACCAGTAACAAAGGAAAAAAGGCCACATCTGCTCCTTTCATTTCTAGTTTTACCTCTTTTATTTTTATTATACTTTGATGATTTGTGTACTGGCTGAAGAATCAAATATATTGTTCGGGTAGAGATAATTACACATAAAAGTTTATATTTTTCTATACTGAAAATGTATTTCCAATAATATTTACCTCCTCTCACACTTTAGCTTTTTCTCAATGAATATTTCTCTTCCCTGCCCACCTAAGCATTAGTATGAATCTTACTTTGCTTGCTCCAGCCTTTATAGCAATTTAAATCTTGCAATTCTCTCCACCTATGTTAATGCACCCCTATACCAGATCTAAATATAAGCTTCACATTATTACTTCCTATTCACTTTTCGAGTTGGTCCAAATTAACAGACCCCGAAACTGGGCATTTCATGGGGAAGAAGGGCAAGAGATTGTGAGATAAGTATTATTGGAAATACATTTTGGGTATAGGAAAATATTAACTTCCAAAACACTTAACACTTTAGCTAGAATTCCAATTTGACAAGGTGGAGAGGCCAGTGACAGCAAGGTCCACACAGAAAGCATCTGCATAGAAAATAGGTATGCAAAAATGAGATATAGTAATAGCACACCAGTGAGGTCTGCATTACTTCTAAACCAGGTGTGCTCTTTGCCGGGACAACACAAAATCTAATTTCAAGGCAGTAAAGGCCGACCAGCCACAGAGGCAAAATCCTAGCACCTTTAGTAGAACATGAACTCGTCCAGGCCCCAACCATGTATTGTGGTTGGAATTATAGGGTTGTGGACCCAAATTGAGAACCAAGGTGTAGTGGCTAGGGCATGAGGACTGCTTTGTTTTTGGTCTTGTTTAGTAATATGGTATTACTGGAACCCAACCTAAAAGTTACAGAGTATTGCATGTCGAACCACCAAAATTACAAAGAGAAGGCAAGCAAAAGTGAACAAACCCTTGCCCCAACTCAAAGAAGTGTAAAATGCAACAAACTGAACTCAGAATTACGAGACTTGCCACGCCTCACTCAACCTGAAGAAACATAGATTACCCAATCTGGGATTATGAACCGAAATACTAACTCCCCAACCTGAGAGACAGGGCAACACCTCCTACCCCAGGAATTGTAAGGAGGATGTGGAACAAACCAAGTTTCACCAATGGCACAGGAAGTGACGCTCTGTGAGCAGAAGTACAAGGAGTCAAGGATCCTCTTTCATGATCATTGAAACAACGAGAATGACCAAAAAGAAGGGCCACACACAAACATCTTAACCAAATAGTGAAGAGTCATCTCTGAACAGGAATTATGAGGAAGCCTCTACACAGGTTAGGTCCTGCTCCTACCATACATCAGAGAAAAACATTCAGGGTTATTGGTAGGAGGGCACCCAGCTTCACCCTCTTCTCCTTGAGTAGAATAATAAATACAAGTATCACTCAGGATGAAAAAACCTCTGTCCACCACTTCAGCAACTGGAAACCAGGAGTGATAAGGACTACCATACTCCACCAGGAAAAACGGGGCAGGGGGGGGATACTTACATTAGGGAGTCCCCAGGAATGATGCTACAGAGACAGTGCAACAAGTGAACTACGTTCCCTATTTTGAAAATCAAACAGACTCCAATTTATTCAATCTGTGACCAGCCAACTGATAGCAAGAGCAGATTTAGAAATAAGCATACATGACCAGGCAACACTCGCCACACAGTGGGATCCAAATAAAACTGATGAGAGGGATCCTGAAAAGGAATAGAAATAAACCCAAAAAAATGAAACCTCTCACCTCTTTTACAAATGAGTCAGAGCATGGAGAGTAGCCATGAGGTGTAGCCTAAAACCTTCCGAGAAAGCAACCACCAAATCATGTAAATAACAAGATATAAATGTATTAGGCATGGTACACATACCAGCCTGTACAACATCCTCCAGTGGGTGATGCTGCCAAGTTGCCAGAGATATGGTGAACTTGATGAGATGAGTCCCAAAAAAGTCTTCATTCTTTCAATGTAAGCCCAGAGTGAGAAATACATAGCAATTGATAAACTCAACCAGTCAAAATGACAGGGTATAAGTCACATAACATCTTAGTATCCCAATGGATAAACAAACAGTGATGTGAATTCCAAAACCCTTCAGTCCACACAACATAATATCGAAGAGACCAAACAAGACATAAAAGACGATCTGGATCCAAGTGTTCATAAAAATGAGAAATGAAGGGAAGATGAATAGGAGAGGAAAGCCTTATCCCCTTCTCTTAGCCACTGACGTTTTGGGAAGAAAGGACCTGTCGGGATACAACAGAACATAAATGGAATGGTAAAAAGTCTTGTGAATATAAATCACAAACATATTCAAATGATGACATCTGCTAGACTACAATAGAATAAAATAAGTCTTAATCAAAAAGTGATATAGGGAATATGATGTCATAGGTTCAAAGGGTGGATGATATACGGCATGGAGAACCACCAAGATATCTCCATTAGGAACCTGGAAAAGATGTTAAGGACGGATAACCCAAAAATATTTTAGAAGCAATGACAAAACTGGGACTCAAAAAATTTACATTTTCTAAAAAAAGCAAAAAGCAGCATATAAAGCCACCTTATCCAGAGGAACAGACAAAGAAGCCAAGACTTTGTTGCATAATAATGACAGAAATTGAGAAACTTGCAGCACAATGTGACGAGAAAGATAAAACCATGTCTGAGAAACCACTTACAATAAAAGTCCAATGAAAAATGCTAAATGGACAATGTTAAATGACAACAAAGAAGTCAATCCCTGCTGTCATGCAATGGATAGCATAAAAGCCAGGCGCAAAGCCAGAGAATGGTGATCGCCAGATGAAGAATGTCTGACCGAGGCTGATGTAAGAGGGATGGCCAAAGAAGAAACGGAAAAGGTTGGCACTCCTGAAGATACCAAAGGATTGGATACGACGGCTGATCTAGCCAATATGGCACCACCAGAATAACTCGACAGGATAAGGAGTTAATCAGTAGAAGAACCTTAGATAACAGACGATTCAGATGGAATGTGTAAAGATGAAGACCAGATCTATCCTGGCTGAGAGCACCTATGTCCAAAACCAGAGGGTGAGGGACAGGAGATCAGAAGGTTGAGAGCTGGGGATTCCGGTGAGTGCAAAAGCATCAATCTGAGGCATGTCAAGAAAAGAGCAGATCCAACAAAAATCTTGTGGATAAAGCATCCATTCTGTGGGAAGACCTCTGTTGGGGAGAGATAACTGATTGTCTACTAAATTCACAACACCTGGAACATGACAAGCAAGGAGAAGAATCTGATGACTGTGGACCCAAAAGAGAAGATCAAATGTCTGAATACAAAGAGAACTGGTGTGAGTGCTCCCTTGCTTGGAAATGTAGGAAAATACAATGGAATTGTCCAAGTGAAGCATTACCACCTTTCATCACAACAATTCAAGAGCTCGAGACATAGCTCATTGAACTGCTAGAAGCTCTAACAGATTGATATTGAGAGAAGATCCCAAGTGCAAAGTACCACTTGCCAGAAAGAAAGGACTCCATGGTAAACCGAGAAAGCTGGAGGAAACAATTGAGATGAGATAGATCAATGACAGATCATCAATTGCCTGTCATCTTTGGTACTACAAATGGGAATAAAAACCCTTGAGAAAGTAGTCGAAGCACTCTACAGTCTCTAAGAGCAAAAAATCCTGGATGACTTGCACCGAACAATTGGATGAAAGATGATCCTTGGGGAGGGCAAAGGCAATCGGTATGGTATATGGTAGAGGAGGAGATGTGAAATGAAGGATCAACCCTCTCGTAATAATCTGAATGACCCACTGATCAGTGGAAAAGGTCTCCCATACAGATACAAACTGACTGAGTTGAGCTCGCAATAGTCTGGATCCTATAGGGTAGTCACTCACTGATGCTGTTGTCTACACTCCACTCAGGCATAGACTGCCTGCTGATAAAGGCAGAATCTCTTTTGTAATCCAACAGAACATGGAGCCAATGCAAGAGGTGTGGAAACTCAAACTGGAGATGCAGTAAACCATCTGGTAGAAGACTGGAAAAGGCGAGAGGTCAATGTTGAAAGAAAAGAGTGGAGACGGGCTACATCCACCCAAGATTCCATGGAATCTATAATACCTGCAAAAATCAAATATCAGAGAATAGGAGCCTCAATGAGATCTCTAAGGGCTGAAGAAGGAAGTCAAATGCCCTCAAGGAAGGCATCTTTCTCTAAAAGATCCCAGCAACAACCCAACCAAGAGGCCAAGGAGAGATCAGAAGCTGATAACTTTATCCAAGTAGAGGTCAATAAATGACCAAGATTCTCTTAAAACTGAATAGGAGACCTGCTATAGGGTTTACATAAAAGTTGCAAATGAAGATAAAAAATGCAAAACTGTTGTAAGGGGAGTCAATTCTGGGAAAACTGAGTTAGGTTAAGATGAATAGTGGCATCAGGCCTAGAACCTCAAATAGGAAGAAGAGGATCTAACCTCTAAGTACCTAAATATGGGTCCTCCAAGAGATGGAAAGCTGGAGGAAGATGTCCCAATAAACAGGGAGGACAAGGTAAATCTCTGAAAATGCACAACAATGTCTGATGACAGTGGAAGGACTAGATAATTAGCTAAATGACTTTCCCCAACAAAGAAGAAGAGTCTTAAGTCACAGGGAAAATGCTCAAGACATTAAAAACTTGATGTATTAGTTGCAAAAACAGTGCAGGAGGCAAGATGTTCATCCGAGGCTTGTGATTTGTTGCCTGAGCAAAGGAAGGAGTCAGAAAAATAGAGTCCAAATTCTGCCCAGTCTGCCTCTGATCCCCCACAAGCTCAGTATCCAAGCCAATAAGAGAAGAAACATCAGGCCTCATGTAATACTCCAACTCTCTGTATGTGAGAGATTGGACATCCATCGCGGAAAATGGTCCTCCCACCAACACCCGAGCAATGCTAGACTCCAGAGTTGGCAGATGAGGAGCACTAGGAGACTCCGTATCAGAGATGTGAATGTGGGAATTCATATCACAAATGTCTCAGAATTTTTTGTTTGCAGAATTCACATAAAACAGTTGTCGTAACATTCTGCCATTGAGAAAAGTGAACAGGAAATAATAACATGGATCTTGAATAGGGGGAGCATTGACATAAGTGAAGAGAATCTTAAAATTTAAGTTGCTATGGGCAAAACAGTGGGGTATAAAGGCTGGAGTAAGTGAGGTAAGATTATACCAATGCTTAGATTGGCAAAGTAGAGAATTTTTCATTGGGAAAAAGCTAAAGAGTTAGAGGAGGTAAGTGTGTTTTGAAGTATAAAGTTTTACTGAGAAAATAACTTTTATATTTATTTAGGAAGTTTTGGAGGTTACACAAATGAAATTTCTGAGACAAAGAAAAATATTTTTAATTTTAATTTAGAATTTATTTTTCACTCAGACTAGTCAAGATTCTCAAAAAGATTCTATATCTTCATGAACAAGTCTTTAGTAAAAATACGTCATTAAAAAAGGGATTCTTTTGAGTACAAATGACATATAATGTTCACTAAAAGTCTGCCAAATTTTGTGAAGACATACATACTGTATTAAAAGTTATACTATGGAAACTATAACAAGTACAAAGTGGTTACAAGTAACTTCTTTATGTGTTGTTAAATACTAAAACTTATCTAAGCCTTTTTTGTAGGTTTTAATTAACCATTGTAAAAATATTAAAAGTGATTATTTACATATCATGTACAGTACATTACAACACTTGTTTTGAGATCACTGATAAGGACAAAGAAAATGGGTAAGTAGCAGTTTTAATGTTATACTTCCTTGTCAAACCACAGAACTGTGAATTTCTTAGAAATATTTAAGTCATATACAGGTCAACAAACCACCATTTTCTCTTTTTGTTTTGCAATTTTACATTTTGTTTCTGCAAGCATTTTCAAAAGTAATTTGTACCTTTCCACCCTGAGCAGTCCTGACTGCAAATGAAAAGAGAGTTGATTGTTCTGGGTTTCCCTCCAGTTTGAATTGGGAAAAAGCTGCAGCATGGCCTTCGATAGGCTGGCTTACTTTTCTTTCAACAGAGTATAGCTGCATTGCTCCTATCACTCGGTTTTGCTAAATGTCAAGAAATTATAAAAAGAGACATTATAAACACTATATACAAACTTTAGAAACATTTAATAGTTTTATCAATTATTTACTATGTAAGCTTTCCTTTTATATAATTATAACGTTTTAATAGAAGCTCAAGTTTAAATCAATGAACATAATGCAACACAGTAAAGAATATTTTAAGAATCCTTTTGAACTTTAAAATCCCACTTTATACACAACACTGAACACAAGTTACAACACAACCAATATAGAAGTGAATAAATTCAACACAGTAAAAAACAAAACAGCTTCAAACATATTTCCAGATACACTATACAAGTATAACAATTATAAATATATTTATTTTGGCTTTACATCAGGGTTTCCCAAACCTTTGAGTTGTCAACCCATTGATGAACTTATAAAGTTGTCAATGACCCACAAATTCTTAGAATATGAATGATAAATGAAACTTCAATATATAATCAACTCCTATTCATCATAGTACAATCATTAGAAAACACATAATGTAAAAAAGAATGAGGTTTTAATTTTCGTTAATGAGATGTATAGGCCTGATGGGTTTTAACAAGCATAGGAATAGGGGTCATTTTCAACCCCAAGGTCTTTATTTACCCCTGTACAGTCTCATCGACCCCAGGGGATCAGTATCAACCACTTTGGGAAATCCTACTGTACATTGTTCAGGGGACAAAATATCTGGGTTTGCATCAGAATTTGTGAATGAAAACAACCCCAGTTGCAAATTACTTTCCTCTTTGCTCAACATAATGTGCAAATCATTTCTTTCTCTTGTATATTGTCTTTGAGACCTCTAATAACACAGTGAAAGTGCTGTAATGTTTCAGTTTGATATACCTAGGCCAAATCTGATGATCATTTCTTGGAAATTCTCACCAAATGACATATACAGTATTTTCACACTTTGTCATGCATATATCACATACACATACACTGTTCATGATGTTTGGAATGTGCCTGTTTGGCACCCACTGCCTAGCCAACTGGACTAGACTACATACATACAGTAATGAACTGCACATGTAGCACTGAGCCAGTTATGAGCGTTTTCAACATGGGCTCAGTCACAAGGACTGACCATGTGACCATTTTAAATTGTATATAGTTTTAATACTATAACTTTTAATACATCATTATTGCTTAAAAACCATAATTTTTATGGCCTTCAATTTTGTTTTGTTACATAGCTATCAAAGAGAAAATCACATCCCTCCTGCAACACCATCTCTTTCACAATTGGTTGATAGTTCTCTCTTACGTTTCATTATATACTATCTATAACCAATAGAAAGTCATGTTTTTCATCAATCAAATGACGTATTGTATAACATTGTGTTTGGAACAGAATATCGTCAATTCCACTCACAGTACAAGTATTTGTTCCTGTGGGAAAGTTAACGACTAGTTTGGATAAATTTGTAACGGCTTTTGTAGCATAGTTATAAAGCCAGAAAAATTTTTAGAAGTAAGAGAATTTGTCTACTTTTTGCATGTTATTAGTCTATATTCTTTGATGTATTATTCAAGTAAATAAAAATTGTTAAGTGCTTTACTATAATCGCTAAAAAAATCAGGTTTAACTCTAATCGACAATCGAGAGCAAGAAAAACTAAGATTGGGTAAGTACTTTATTTCTTGTTTTTCATATTTATTCTTTATTTATTATTAAAAAGTAACTAAAATTAAAAGTTTGGATCTTTAAGTTATTTAAGACTAGAATAGGTAAAATAAGTAATAATAATAATATAATTAAAATTGTTCATGAAGCACGCACGCGAGCAGCTCGTTGCTAATGTAATTCGATAGCGTAACGTGAGCTGCATGTTCCCGAGTGATTTACAATTTATAATGGCATGGATAGCAGTTAGACATGGTTCAATGGCCAATATAAAGGGCAATAAAACTTAATTATAAATAGATGTATAATGTTACGAACTTACAGCTACTTAGGATAAACAAAAGTAGTTTCAGGTTACAATCTGAAGTTGTAATAGAAAGAAAAGAAGGTTAATTTAGGATTATTTCAATTTTGTTTTGGTGGTTACGAGGTCGGTCGAATTGACTGATCCAGTTTTGAGATTAGGGTAGAGAAAATAACATATAAACTATAAGAATTTAGTGAAAAGAAACGTTTGAAATGCATTTAGGAGGTTTTATGGATTACACAAAGGAAATTTGAGATTTTTGAGATGACGAAAAGTATTTTAATTTTAACATGAAAATTACTTTGCACATGGACTATTCAAAACAAATACTCAATATACTCATGGACAAAACTTTATTTTATTCTAGTAAAAGCACTTAACTAAGAAATATAACTTTTTGTATGTGAAAGACTTGTCATATTAACTGAAAGACTGTCAAAGTTCGTGAAGATATACCTAATATATATACAGAGAGTTATAAGTATTAAATTTATGTCAACTTTAAACTAGTACAGAAGGTCACGACTCGGTAAATCGACAGAACTCTTGTTGAAAGAGTTAAACCAAAAAATCTTCAACTTTTCTGTTCTGATTACTAAGAAGTCATAAATATGTATGCATATGTACACATACGGTATTATTAAACTACGATCTCTTCAGCTTTTCTGGTCCAACCACAAAGAAGTAAGAAATGTGTGTGCATATCCACACATACAGTATTATTAAAGTATGAACTTTTCAGCTTTTCTGTTTTGACTACTAAAGTTATGAAACCAAAATCATGATTTTACAGCTCCAATAGGAAGTGAAGACATTTACTTGTGTGTGTGTGTGTATATATATATGGTGTATGTGTATATATAATAGTTATCCTCTTACCTGAGCTGATATTCCTATAAGTAGAAGCCACTGCTGTTTGTGGTCTGTTCGGTAATTAATTATCTGACAACCATTTAAACTGGAATGTCTGTCAAACATCTTTACAGGCTGGGAATCACCTGTACAAAAGATTAACACACTTATTATTTACTTCTTAAGGCTTCAATTTTTATTACTTATATGTTCTGTAAAATACACTAACTAAACTATACTAATCGAATACTTAATACAATAATTTTCTTTCAAACTTCTTCCAGAACCGAGAAACAAGTGTGACAAACATGCTATCATTAATTATAAAAGGTTTATGAAAATTCCTTCCATAGCACAGTTTTTAGTATATCTATTCATGGCTAAAAATATTAAAAGCATGATAAAAACAAATGCAAAGGACAAGTGTAAAGTCTTCTAAAATGTGTTGGTTACTATGAAGAAAGGTTGTTTTTTTTTACTTACCTTCCATACTCCAGTGGAATACTGTTGTGTCTGTTACCAAGGCTACAGTGTTTAAACTGATCCATTTCCAAAATACAACATCATCATTCATGGTGTGGGCTTTCATTTTACTTTTCATTTCAATATTAAAAATCTGAAGTGTCCTCATGGCTATAGGAAGAAAAGTTGACCATTAAATAATACACATAGACTTTCTTATAATTCTTTCAAACTGGACTGGGAATAACATGGGAAGAACCAATGAAAGAAAAAAGTAGAATATGTTATGTTAACCACACTACATCTGCCATATCAAATGCCAACAAGACCTTTTACCCAATACCAGGGCCCAACAGGTCATATGGGATATAACAGAAATTGTATTAGCTAGGTGTTAAATGCATATCAATTTTCATGAACAACAACTGTTAAGGTTATGTTAAAGTTAACACCAATATATAATTCATTCTAATAGCCTAGTTTTCAATGTATCAATTTAGGGCTCACAATAATTATCATACAGTAAAAACAAAAGCAAAGGGCAACCATAAGGATTCATTAACAAGCATAATTTGTGTTTTGTTAACTTTATACTTGCCATATCTTCAAGTTTATTATATTTAATGCATTATAGATATTTCAACAAAAAATCTTTCAGCTTTCTAATTGTACACTGAATTTTCTATGGAATGATTTTCCGACATTTTTGACATTTCTTATACACATCTGTATCTTACAAAGCAATATCCAAGTTCTAATTCAATAATAAAAATAAAATAATGATCAATCTTAATGAAAAAAAAGCAGAAACACACACACACCTTTTAATGCAATGACCTTAGAAGCAGGGTTCATAATAGCAGAGTCTGCAGATATAGGTCTCCGAATGGGGTTTGTTGGATTGTTGATGTCAATGATCACCACTTGGGCAGAATCTCCAACCTTCTCACGTACACAAATGTACTTGTCAGATTCCATGGTGAGGGTGTTGAACCCAATATTAGCAGCAGTAATACCAACATTGGTAAGCTGGTATGAAATAAATGTTAACAAGTAAAATATTAAACAGTATTCTAATATTTTGTACCTGCATTATTTTACTTTACTGTATTTGAGTGAAATATAGTAAAAGAACTGAAGTAGTTTCTGCAAATTTTATAAGAAATCCACACATTTAAAATTTTTTATGAACACCATTCTTAAAATATATAAACATATATAAAACTTGCACATTGTTCTAAAATAATTTTCTTCTCATGAATATTAACAAACTTTAAGAGCTGTTTTGTTAGGAAGTACAAGAGAGAAACTTTTTTATTCTTAGTAATTCTTCGTATATATTACTTGACACTTCAAATATTCCTGAACTCTCTAAAGGTAGTACTATAAACAAATGCTGAACACTTCAAAGTTTTTCAAGTGTTCTAAATATCAAAAACAAAAGAGACATAAAAAAAACTAAGGCATTGGAGAGATAAAAAAATCTTCCTTTGACTACCAAATTTTTCTTAAAGTAATAAATTCCACATTATATCACCCTGCATCTTAGAGCCTTTAAAAAACTGCAACAGTTTTGTGTTTGGTAAGACTAGATGTATCTTCAAAAAACAAGATGTAGAACCATTTGCTGGAATACTATGGTATGAATATGCCACAACAATAATACAATGTATTATTACAGTGCTTCTTAAAGTATGGAAACACATAACCCCCATGGAAGGGTATGTAGTGGTCAGTGTAGGGGTACACAAAAGAGAAAGGGGGAAAATAAAACAAAGTCAGAAAAAATATTGTTTTCTTTTGTAACTGTTATAGTTAAGAAATATTTGGAATGTTTTTCATATCCAAACATTGTGAGTTATAGTTACTAATAATAGTAATAGTAACAACTTCAGCAAAAAAAAAAATTATACTAAATTTGAAAAGGGGATATACCAACTACCAAATCTTGAGAATTACTGTATGCAGGTTAAGCCTACTTCATGTTGAAATAGGGTGGAGATGGTGAAAAGGAAGAGTAAACTGTGGGAAGTGGCAACAGAAATTAGAGAGGAAATTGAGATTTTGCATGCAAAGGATGCAGGGACTAGTGATGACTTTTGGGAGATTGGAAGCAATAACAGGGCTAATGGTGATAGATTTAATTATAAAGAGCAGACTATGCATGGATTTTAGCTTTTGTTTGGCTTGTGTAGGTGATGAACTTGAAGAGGGAAGGATAACAAAAGGTACAGGCAGAGATGGGAATGAAAAACAATGATGTTATTGTTAAAGGAGATTCTTTGGTATGGCAAGTGGATAATATGGGCTGTGGGGTGAAGAGAAAAGAATTAGATTAAGCTATATCTAGGGATAGGTATGGAGGATATAACTGACAGAGCAAGTGATATAATAAAGAGTGCTAGAAGTTATACAGTCTTTCTAGTTCACATATGACCAAATTGTGTATATAAAGGAAGATCTGAGGAGCTAATTGTGAATTAATAACATGGCTTTAATAAAGGCATTCAAAGAAAAGGGCCATGATAACTTAATTCTGTCACGGACACTACCAAGACTTAACTGGCGGGTGAAATATAAGTTGGTCATTAGGGCTGAATAGTAGACTTGTGTTAATATATATATATAAGGTACAAAAGTAGTTTTAATGTTAGGCTAAACTGTTATTACTGTAATATTAGAAGTATAAGAAATAAAATGAATGACCTCAAAGCACTGGTTAAAACAGAGGACTCTGGTATAATGGGAATAACTAAAACCTGGTTAAATGTAAGCTATTATAATGAAGGAAATTTTTTTAAAATACAGAGTTATGGGTTGTGTAATAACGACAGAGTACTAAAAAGATCGTGAGGAGTGGCTTCATATGTAACATGTGAATTACAGCTTGTTCAACTTGAGGATATCAAAGCTAATAAGAATGAGATTGAATCTACTTGTTACAGACCACCAGATAATACGGATGAAATTAATGAGAAACTCTACAGTGAGATAAACTGTTATCAAAGTTATAATTATGGAAGATTTTAATTTCAGGCATATAGGCAGGCTGGGAAATGTTAGATTCAAATCATGAGGGAGACAGATTTTTAGTAACTGTTCAAGGTGGTTTTCTTCAACTTCTGATTAAGGTACCTAGTAGGAACAATGCTATTTTAGATTTAACATTTACTTCTAATAAAGAAATGGTTAAAAGAATTGAAGTTTGGGAATATATTAATATATTATAAATATAAAAAGTTTAAATTCACTGAAGTAATTTCGAGGGCTATAGAAGATCAAGAGAGTTGGTCAAATAGGAAATCAAAACTATATGAAAAAAACGTTGGCTAAAAATATTAAAATAAATAGTAATTATTTCTGTCAATACATTAGGTGTAAGCAAATTATTTGGTAGGATGGCCTTTGAGGGATGATCCTGGAATGCTATATTATAATTATTGGACAAGGGTTATTAAATTCTACTTTTTTTCAGTTTTTACTAATGAATATTTAAGCAATATTCCTGAACCTAAATAGCTGTTAGATGGAAACAAAATTTAATAAGATAATCACATTAATTCTGAGCTTGTTATAAGAAAAATTGAGAAGTTTAAATAGTAAAGCACCTGGGCTAGACAATATTTACCCAGGGTTTTGAAAAAGGTTAAGGATTAGACTTTCTATTATTTTTTCTTGGTCCTTAAATACTGGGCAGGTGCCAGAAGATTGGAAGTTGGCTAATGTTACTCCTCTTTTCAAGGGACATGATAAAATTGTCCTTGTAATAATAGACTTATCAGTCTTATGTCAGTGGTAGGAAAAGTTTTTGAATGTTTGGTAAAAGATGTTTTGCAAAGTCATTTAACAAAGTTCAAAATTTTGTTGAATAGTCAGCATGGTTTCACTAGGATAAAACCTTGCCTTACTAATCTTTTAACATTCTTTGAAGAGGTTACTGCTTACATAGATTGGGGTACGGGTGTGGTATATCTATACTTTCAGAAAGCATTGGACAAGTTGCCACAAAAAAGGTTTCTTAAAAAGTTATTTCTGTAGGTGTGGTGGAGAATGCTACTGCCTTAAAAAAAGAGTTTGGATTATTTGGTGAGTTGGGCAAATAAATGGCAGATGGCTTTTATTTATAATAAGTACAAGGTAATGCATGTGGGATATCACTATTTGAATTAGGAGTATAATTTCTGATGGAAATAACCTTAATAGTGTTATGCAAGAAAAAATATCTTATTGTTCTGATTGATCAATCTCTTAAGCCATCCAAGCAATGTGTTGTTGCTAGTGGCAGGGCAAATATTATTTTAGGTGGTAACTACAAAAATGTTGAATACAAGTCTAAAGATGTTATAATGTCATTGTGTAGGTCACTGGTTAAGTCACAATCAGAGTATTGTGTTAAGTCTCGGGCTCCTTATCTCAGAAAGAATATTGAATTGTTGGAAAGGGTTCAGAGGAGGCTACATAGATGATACACGAAAATAGGATAAGATCTTTGAATTTGTTTTCTATTGAAAATAGAACAATTAAAGGGGATCTGATTAAGGTGTTTAAGATTGTTAAGGGAATTGATAATGTTGATTCATTATATTTTTTCATATTTAATGATCAGAATGGTAAGACTAGGGGACATAAATATAATGTTGTCAAGAAAGAAGTTATTTTCAGCTAAGTAAACTATTTTTCTAACAGGGTGGTCTCTAGAATGGATTGCCTTCAGATGTAGTGGATGTAGTTAATATAAGGGAAAGCTTGATAAATATTTTAATGTTGATGGGTGGCTCTGAGGGTTTTTTTGGGGGAGGTAATTTTGTGTTTTGGTATACAATAAAGCTTCTCAGAGATTACCTATTGTAATCTGAGAAACAGAAAATAAAATAATGACTATATTCACTTACTGAATTACTGTTAGTATGCTGTATTTTGAAAGCCAGTTACTTACATAAAAATATTTTTTTCCTAGAACTAAAGATTCATTAGCTAAAGGTCAAATTTAAGCACCAAGCAACACCCATATTACAAATGCTCGACTAAAGATCAAAAGCAGCAATAGGTGATTCAATTACCAAAACGCATGTAGTATTCACATATCCCAGTTATCTTTTAAACTCATACACACCACTGGAATTTTTACAAAAACAGAAATTCTAAAAAAAAGAAAATTCAAAAAATGAGAATATAGCACATACTAAAAACAGGCCTACAAGGTTTGAAAAAAGCATTGTGATTTAATATCAAATACATGAGCCTCTCTTCTATTTTCGGTGGGCCAATAGAGAGAGAATTTCATGGACAATCCTACTTCATTAAGTTAATTAATTAAGTTTCTTTGATGCACAAAGTTCTTTCATCATTATATCTTGCCCAAAAATCCTGAACAAATCAATCCATACTTTTACATTACATTCAAGTATATGTTCTTTTGTACTAGTTATCACTCAGTAGATTTGTATGTTCTTGCACATGAGCTAGAAGCCATTTAGCATTAAATTCTATATACACTAAACTGAGTGAGTGAACATGCAAATCTACTGAATAATAACAAGCTGAGTATACTATATGAATAGAGAGTTGGCAGGTGTTTGAGAATTGGAAAGTTGCTTATATTACTTCTATTCTTAAAAATGAGTGATAAGAGTTGCCCTGAAAATTATAGACCAAGTAGTATTGCTTCTGCAGTGGAAAAAAAATCTAGAGAAAAGCTTTACAAAATCATTTAATGAAATATTAGGTCATCAAGAAATTAATGTTGTGTTTTGGAGCACTTTCATTAACTTCCCCCCAAAAAATGTACATCACATATAATAGGTAAACGAACCACCTAAACGTCACATTAGTGTAGCCTATATAATGTGTAAAATTTAGTATGCTCTAATCCCTTATAGTGATGGCACATGACGAGACACATTTGGCATGTAATGCTGTTTGAATACAAGAAGGGAAA